CCTATCTGTTTTGCTGCCCTGTGCCATATAATGATTAAAATATACTAGGTCAATATAACTCTGAGAGTGATTGACGCACTCTAGTTAGATTTATCTCAGAGTCCAAGGTCCTTTCTATGGGAGTTCAGACAGTCTATTCTGAAACAACTGTTTTCCACTTACTCCCACTCTCCACATGAGCCAGGATAATCGAGGCCTGGCTCTGCATTAGATTAGCTGTACAATTATGGGCAGAGTTTCTTAACTAATCTGCTATAGCTAGACTTGTCTTGAGAGATGATCTCACAACTCAGCCCCTTTGTTGTGCCAATAGGATCAAAGAGAGGTTTAGTGAGTTTGCAAAGGTTGTACAGAAAGTGCAAACTGCAACCTGTAATTTCTGACTCTTCTTAGTTCTGTATTATGCGGCCTTTTCCTATCATAAAATATCTGTGGTGAGGATCAGATGAGATAAATGTCAGTATGCCTTGATAGGCATAAAATATCACAAGGGTAAATTATTTCTACTTGCTTTCTATTGTCAGGAGGCGTCTGTGATCCTTTATGTTGTCATTTCTTGATTCTCAGTATCTTGGAAGCAGAGGTTATTTATAATGTCTTTTTGTGTCCCTTAGCTCAAGTCCAAACTGATATGTGTAGGTTATCTGGGCAAGCTAACAAATTGACACCCTTTGAAACTGAATTTATTTATTTAGAGAATACATGGATAAGCTGATTTTCTAATAATAAAAAGTATATAGTTTATGTTCAGAACAGGGATTTATTACATTCATTTATTACAAGCAGTTTTCTGATTAGTTTCTTGGGAGGTATATTAGTCTGATTTATATTTAGGTAAAATAAATTATTCATTTATGATTTTGACATTTTTTCTTACTATACCTGTAATTTCAGGTAATTGTCAGCTGACAAATGATATGGTTAGTTAAGGAGTCAGGATTTGCCTAGGAGCAAATCTCATTTTTATTAGCTGTGTGTGACCTTAGGCAATGCTTTAAAACTTTTCTGAACCTTAGTTTCCTTATTGTTAAACTAGGCATTATAGTGATTAAGCTAAAATTGACCACTGAACCATGGTTTCATTTACTCCCCACAGTAACCATGTGACATAGGTGAGGAAATGAAGGCATGTGGTTACAGAGCTAATAAATAGTAAAAGAGAGATTTGAACTCAGGTAGTCTTAACTCAGCCCATAGCTTTTGAACGCTATGTTACTACCTTCTTAACTACTTCATAAGTTGTTTTGAGGAGTAAATGAGATGGGGTTTGTAGAATGCTTGGTACAATTTGGTTTTCAGAGCTTTTTGATTTTGGAATTGTGACTAAGGTTTTATGGACCTAGAAATTAATTTAGGGAGAATTATAAATATATAATTATCCTTGGTTCTAAACAGTTCTGTGGTAGCTTGTTACCTTGAAAGAATCACAGGCCCTACCCAGACATACTGGATTATAATCTGTATTTTAAGAATTTGCATTTAAGATCCTTAAAGTTTGAGAAATATTGTCCTAGATGATATTGAAGACTTCTTCCAACTCATGGTTGTGAGTGATTCTGGGACCAGCCAGCATGAATATTTTAGTGTTGATTATTGCATTTAGCAAAGAAAATGGTAGTACGTTAAAGGCTTTTTTTTTTTTTTTTTTTTTGAGGCAGCGTCTCACTCTTTTGTGGATTAGAGTGCAGTGGCATTATTGTAGCTCACTGTAACCTCAAACTCCTGGGCTCAAGCAATCCTCTTGCCTCAGCCTCCTGAGTGGCTGGGACTATAGGTGTACAGGTGTGTGCCACCATGCCCAAGTAATTTTTTTATTATTTTATTTTTTTAATTTTTTTTCAAGGCAAGGTCTTGCTTTATCACCTGGGCTAGTGTGATCATAGTTCACTGCAACCTCAAATTCCTGGGCTCAAGTGTTTCTCCTAACTTAGCCTCCTGAGTAGCTGGGACTACAGGAATGGTCCACCACGCCTTGCTAATTTTTCTATTTTTTTTGTAGAGATGGGGTCTCACTCTTGCTCAGGCTGGTTTCCAACTCCTGGCCTCAAGCAATCCTCCTGCCTCAGCCTCCCACAGTGCTAGAATTACTGAGTGAGCCACTATACCCAGTCTTAAAGGATTATTTTAATGTAAATCACTGTCCTGTAGATTTTTTCTATTGCTTGTCTTCCATCATAGGGCAACTTTTGAGGTAATTAATACCAGTTTGAATTTGTGAAAGGCTTTTGACATAGAACAAAATTACTCTAAATTTTATCATCCTGTCATTTTAGGAAATAATCAGAACTCAAAATTTTTAGTCGTGTTAGATTGAATGTTTTTAATTCATCCCACTAAATAATAAGGTTAAAATATCAGCCGGTTGTAGTTATGAGACCCTAAAAATGACATACAAGTTTATTTTTGGACAGTTCACTGTTCTGATGTTCCAATGAACATTCGAAGTTAACAGTTGTAAGAGGTTAACTACAAAGCAAATGAGCACTTGCTTGATTAGAAATTTTTAATTTTATTAGTCTCAGGAATTTAAAAAAAAACTTCTCTCAAACTTAATTAAGGAAAGGATTCTCTTGTAGGTTTTGTATTTTTTTTTAAATGTGACAGACAGTAATGTCTGTTTTGTTCAGCACAGTGTAGGTATTCACAAATATTTGCCAAATGAACAGAAGTCTGTTTTTGGTGATTTTTTTTATCCTTTTCAAATGAGTAATAAGAGACATAAGAGTCTGAAAACTCGAGTTTTTAGACGAATTGAAGATTTACCCTTATTAAGTAATTGCTGTATTAATTAATCTCCAAATCAACTAATTGTGACTTTTTTGAATATTTATGAAAGATGTGATTCAAACATAAGAATCAATAAGACATTTACATAGTTTAAAGCAAACACCTGGTTAAGAAATAGAACACTGCTGGGTATTTGAGAAGCCTTGCTTTGCGTTGTCTTTCAGTTGAATGCTGCTTTATCTCCAGAGATAGCCAATCTCTTGGTTTTATTTTTAAGACCTCTGAATATATCCTTAAGCAATAAGTTGTTTAGCTTTGAAAAACTGACTGGCAGCATAAATCTGATTGTGTAAAGAAAGGATAATATTGCTAATGTTAGATCAGATCTCACTGGAGAAGGCAGGTTGAATAAAGTATCTGGGTCACAGTCTGGTTTCAGTTATCTGGAGAGTTTACAGTAACTGTTTTCTAGGGAAGTCAGTGGAAAAGGTGTTGAGTGAGTCTTGGGAAATAGCATCTGTTTCCCATAGTTGGGCATCTGGCAGTACTGTAGTGTGGATCAGGTACTGGATGTTCAGCAGAAGGACTAGGCTGCTTTGTATTTTACTCTAAATCACTATGTCCTACTTTCAGCTCTTAGAAGAAAGTCAGAGGAGACCGCTTCTGTAGGTGAAATAGTATTCCCAGCTGATTCAGCGGGGAGAGCATGAAGGCAGAGTAGAAACTTCATTAGCAGGCATTCTGTCTTCTGGTTGAAAGATAATAGTTGCCAGGATGAGGAAAAAGGGTAATAAAATACAAATGAACGAGAGTTGTGCCAGCCCTTTGTAAAAGAAAAAGCCAAAACTACTCCACTGGGGGACATAAGAGAAGATATGAAAAAATTGAAAAAAAAAATACTATTTTGGGATAGGAAGACTCAGTATTATAAATAAATTCTCCTGAAATAAATCTTATCCAAGATTTCTGTTCATGTGTCATCTAATCATTCAAGCTTCTTGGACCATATGCAGTTGCTTTATTTTTCTCCATTGCATTTATGCCCAGCCGATATAACCGTATATTTACTTATTTATTGGTCATTTCCCCCCTTCTTATGAAAAAAACTTACAAAGGTATGTGAACTTAGGAGGGCATGTTTGTGTTTCTTTCTTACTAGAATGTAAACTTAAGAAGGTATGTTTTGTTTCTTGTGGTATCCTCGGCACCTTGAATTGTGCTTATTAGTACACAGGAAGCGGTCAATGACTAGTGAATGAATGAATAGAACTCTCCTTTCTCTCATAATCCATGGCACTTATTGTCTGTTCTGTAGTTTTTTGGTCATTAATTTTGTTCAATTTAGCATCTTATAATGCTTTCTATTATTTTCTTTTGGTTCATTGTCTAATTGTTTCATTCCTATAAGACATTATTCTCTATGCTCCTTGATGGCGTGAGTGGGACAAATGCTTCCTTTGTGTACTACCTAACAGTGCAAGCGAATGGATGTAGGAACTTGTTGAATTGAATACATTTATTTATTCAATGACTTAAATTGCTAGAATCCAGTTTGCCTCAACAAAAGGAGTATTTCTTTATTGGATGAAACAATATAATTCTGTACAAAATAGGATTTTTTGGTTAATTTTTTAAGGATGGAGATTTTTTGAAGATGTTTTATTGAGCTCATGGTAAATTTTGGTAACTGAAAGTTGAAACTTTTGTAATTATAATTGTATGAGTTTCTGCACACAGTTTGAGTAGAAGAAAAATATCACTATATTCAGTGAGATAAGGATTTCTTACCTTGAAATTTACATTAAAAAAAAAGCACCTTATGCTGTAGTTATATTGGTACTTAGTTTTAAAATGAAATATTAATTCTAAATAAGTATAACTTTGTAGCCTACTTAACCTTTTATAAATACTTTTGCATATATAAATAAGTATGCAAATATTTTAATAAATACTTTGTTATATCTCTCATGCCAACATTTCATTCAACAGTTTGTAACTATTTCTCTCTTCTTGTATCTTTACATTGCCACTAGTTTTCTTTTTTTATCATTGCTGATATGCTGTAAATCTCTGTACATAAAGATTTTATAAATTGATTTTTGGAGATAAATTTTCAACAATATACTTTACATTTCCAAAACCAAATATTTTAACAGTTACTGAAACCATAAATGTTTAAAAAGAGAAATTTAAAACTATAAAAAGTTTTGTTAGTTCCTTTCTAATTCATATGGATAATTATTTATTTATTTATTTTTTTTGCTTTATTTCAGGCCAGTCTGTCCATATGGGGATGGGGAAGCCTTGGCATTGTCCTTTTTCTAATAACCTTTGGACCCTTTGTAATATTTTATTTGGCATTTTATATCCTCTGCTTTGTGGGTGGGTAAGTATACGCAATGATAATTTTACAATTCATGTGTCATGTCTTGTTCAAATGAAAACAAATGACTATGAGAAATGGGAGTGTGATTTATTTGTGAATGCTATTTTTATGAGCTTTTTATTAAAATTTTAAAAAAGTAAAATTAAGATACTCATAGAAATAAAAACAGTGATGATTATTATTTGTACCAGGAATATGGGTAGTCATCTTCAAAATGAAATTTCAGTTTCCGAAGATATGTACTTTTTTTGGTGAAAATAAAGTTGAAATTTTCTTGTCCATTATATGTAACTTAAATTGAGATGACACAACCAGTTACATTGTAGAAATTGTTTCATTGATTAGACTTCAAACAATAATGTTAATTATTTCTATTAATGAATGTTGTCATTGTGGCCTAGAGAATTCCAATAAATGTCTGATTTTGCAGTCTTCTCCTTATAGTCATTTGGTTTGCAATGTTTATTTTCCCTTAAGTTGATAAACCTTTATAAGGGAGGATCAGTCATAATTTATTATAGCTTCATATATAGGCATGACTTGTAAGAAAATGTTACAAAATGTGTAGACAAGTGAGATGCTTGTTATTTGGACACTCTCACCAAGGTAGCTTAGCTGAAATGAATATTGTACTGTTAATATGTGTATATGTATTTATATGATATATTTATGTAATTAGTTGTGGAATGAACACCTACGAGTTCTTTTTTTAAAAAATCTTTTGACGCCCTAGACATTTGGAAGAGTTGTTTGAGCCCGTAGGTTTAGAGGATTTAGCTGAATTGAATAGCATATATAAACAGCGGCCTGAAACCCTGTATAAGACACTGAAGGATTAGCTTCCGAATATACCTACCACCTATCACCTCTTTTGGGGTACAGGCTTGAAAGTCATGCATGTTGTTGTCATTTTATAGGGAGCATAGTCACTGATTGTTGAACAAGTGTGAATTATTTAAATTGAGCAGCGATGTCAAAGACTCTCTATAAAACTGTATTTTATATTAGATTTAGTATTTTCATATTGCTTAAATATGATACTGTGTACTGAAACACTTAGACTTATTTCAGTCATAAGAATCAGATACATGGAGTTCAGAACATCTTTATCGATGATAAAGATGATTGAAGATCTTACAGATCTACAGCCAAATGGGCTTCCTAATATAATACTCCTCAGTCACAAATTAAGGCCACAGCATGGCTGTAAAAGCTGCATGGTTTTACAGCAGCAGCGTCAAGGCTACTGTTTTTTTTTTTTTTTTTTTTTGAGACAGAGTCTCACTCTTTTTGCCCGGGCTAGAGTGAGTGCCATGGCCTCAGCCTAGCTCACAGCAACCTCGCACTCCTGGGCTCAAGCAATCCTCCTGCCTCAGCCTCCTGAGTAGCTGGGACTACAGGCATGCGCCACCATGCCCGGCTAATTTTTTTTCTATATATTTTTAGTCGTCCGATTAATTTCTTTCTATTTTTTTTAGTAGAGACGGGGTCTCGCTCTTGCTCAGGCTGGTTTCGAACTCCTGAGCTCAAACGAGCCGCCCGCCTCAGCCTCCCAGAGTGCTAGGATTACAGGCGTGAGCCACCGCGCCCGGCCCAAGGCTACTGTTAATGATTGAAAGGAAATTATTTGTCTTTAGATGTTTTTCTGAAAGGGAGAAACTTCTTTTAATTTTCATAATTGAATAAGCCCTTGTGAAGAGTGAAGGAAAAGGATTTCAGAGTATTTCTCAATACTTCAGAAAGGGAGGATATTGAAGACAAAGGAAGGAGCCCTTGGAAGGTGGAAGGATAGAGAATTATTTCTCTTTTAGTAAGCTGCTCCGTATAATATTTGGGAAATGAGAAGAGTGATCAGTTTATTAATTTTACAGTCTTAAGAATCTTTGTTCCCTCCCTTTTTGAATCTGCTAATTTATGAAGGAATAGTTTTTAAAAATCTTTTGCGTACTTACAGAGTTGTATAAAAATTTTCGGTAAGGTGGGGTAATGGGGGGTATGGGAGGGGTACTAAAAAAACTCTTTAGATAATAAATATTGAGTCACGAGGTGGGGTCTGAAATTTCAAGTTCATGATATATCATAAATTGATCTGAAGTTCTGTTCCGGACTATGTTGATCTCAGTGAAACTCACTGCCACCAAAAGGGGACTTACACTAGCAGGCTACCCAGAATCATCCCAGGGGGATTAGTTAATTAATTATCCTCAGGTTACTCAATTATGGTCAACGAGTCAGGTAATTTCCTGAGTCAGATCTTTCTTATTTTGGTTCTAATTATGAAGAATGATTGTCCCTTCTTTAACTTAGTGTAGTTTAATGCCTTATGAATTCAAAGAACAAAAATAGGCTTTTAAGTATCAGTAAGTAAAATGATGACATTTCATGTAATTAAAAATCATTTCTTAGTTTTAGTATGTTTTCTTATTGTATAAGTTTTAAAGATGTATTTTTTGGAACTGATACATTTTCTTGTGGAACCCCTTCCTTTTTTGTGTGTGTGCTAATAAAACTAACTTATAACTTAAGTTTTAAGTTCTGCAATTTCCCCATCTAAAATGTTGATAATGTATTTATTTTGCTTATGGTCAAACCTAACCCCTGTATTTTAATATAAAGAGAATTTTTGGAAAGAAAACCTCTCAGGGATTTTTTTTTTGTTTTTATTATTGTGGGATATTGTCAATACCATATTATGGTTATTTCATGACATTGTTATATTTGTTGGTTTATGTAATTATTTTGTAGTACCTGTTTTTAGGCAAACTCACAGCTGAAACTATTAATTAGTTTCTTTGTAAGATCAGACTGTTCCTTACCTTGCCTTCCTACTGTTGTACATGGTGAGCAAAGGCTGTTTATCAGTCTGCTTCATGTTGATGTTTTTAGAAATACAATGTTAACTTAATATAAACATTTTATTGTATCTGTAAATGTGCTTAATGACCAGGCAAAACTGAACTATAGGGCCAACTTAAATGTTAGTAATAATATCAGATATAACACTGATGAAACTTACCAATAATTCCGAGGTCAACCTTTTACAAAAAAATCAGAAACAGAATTAATGATATGACCTGATTTGACTTTATCTGTGTAGTACCTGTACTGAAGACCAGTGAAATAGCAGGTAGCCACTAAAAGCAGAGCGCTTAGAGAATCTTCGTTTCAGTAGTTGAGACTAATCATATTTAATTTTCATAGTTCCTTTCTTGACACTACAGTCTTTGAATTATTGTAAGATTACTATAACATCATTATAAGGTTAACAGTTAATTTTTTTTTGTAGATTTCCAGCACTTAGCTTTATTGGTGAGTTTTAGATATAGGAAATATTGATAACATTTAGTTAATATTTAACGGTGAAGTAGTTCTGAACCAGAATTTATCTTGCCTGATCCTATAATTGTTTTAAAAAAATAACCTTTTTGGGATACATTCATACTTCTTTACTTAATTCTAGCCTTATTTGAAACAAATCATAAGTTGGATCATTTTTGCCTTTATAGCTTTTGTTTACTCTGTATTCATAGTGGCAAGTTAATATTAATACCTCACCTTAATTAACAGAAATATAGAATTAGGTCATTTAGCTATAGATTTAAATCTCATTTGTCTTTATCCTTGGTTATTAGCTAACCTACTTATTTAATGAGGGCTGATTTTTCTCAAGTTTGAAAATGTCATCTGAGATTCTTGATGACATATATTTGATTAAAACTTTGAAAAGCATTACTGTGTAATTCACAAAATGTTTATGGTTGTTTTAAACCTAAGAATATACCAAAAAATCTGTCAATTTTTGCTTTCCCAATGTCACAGACTGACTTTTTAGTGAATGGTAAGCCATTTTGTGAATTCTGAAAAATGTACTTGGAAATAGATGTATTAAATTACAGAAAAATTTTTTTATGTCTATGATTAAATTTTTTTTTCCTAGGGGTTTAGTCGTTACTCTCCTATTTGGAAAAACAAACTCAGAGAAGTATCTAGAACAGTGTGAACACTCGTTTCTTCCTCCAACATCAACTGGGGTTCCTAAGGTAAATAGTGTGACAGAATATGAAACCTCAAAGTTCACTTCTTTGCAATAATAATAATGTGATCATCTATATATGGCTTGACAGATTGTCCTATGATTCTTTAATGCTTATGGAAGATGTTTCAATCACACTTAGAAAATACATTTTAAAAAGTCACCTTGAAAACTTTCGTAGAGTAAAAGGTGGGAATATAGATTTGAGGAAAAGATAGAAATTGGTTAGTTTAATTTTGGTGGTTTTCCTGCTGTCTTACACACGGAAATTCAAAGTATCACACATACGCTTTGTAAGAATGTCTGTGAATATTCTGTTTTGAATGAAATAAATTGCATAGGAGCCAGAGGGAAAAAATGAACACTTTAACTACTTTAAAAAAGATAGCTTGCAATTAGATATACAGTATCTTTAGTTTTAATAATTCAGGCCAAATTTTTACCATCTCGAATGGTGCTATTTTTCCATTTTTTTCAATATCATACTCTATAAATAAATTGGAGTTGGGTAGGTTTCAGATTTGCAATGCCTTCAATTCTTGTGGTATTGAGGGGGTTTCATCTTGTTTGAAGAGAGACAAAGGGCTTGGAATTGATGCTATTAACTTTACAGTTATTAACTTGTCCATTATATTCTAAAATGTAGGAGATGTAGAAGTAAATAATATATTATTTTGCATTAAGGAAATAAAAGAATTTTAGTCCCACTGCTTTTCATATTGATAAACTAATTTTTTCTAATACTTGTAACTTTTTTATAATGTGAAACTTTTTTCTCCTCCTCTAGGACTCCTGTTAATATGTATTCTTTGAGTTTGCTTAAAAGTTGTAATGAAATTTTCTTTTTTTGAACCATTTCTTAGCCATTTTTAATGTACATTCACTTGAGTGGTACTTACAGAGAATGGGAAATATTTTAAGAATTATGATCATTAACAGTAATAAATCATAGTCAAAACTGGTCAAGTCTTTATAATCCATTTTTAATAGATGGTATAAAAATAGTGATTTTGATTTATTTCTAAAATATGATTTATAAGTATGCTTTATGAAAAAAATCTTAGTGGTTTCATATTATAACTTGAAGCATGTATTTTATATATATATATTTATGTTTTGGTTTATATTTTTAATTTAAGAGTCTTCTACTTTTCATTGCTATTTTCAGGCTACTGTTCTTTCTGAAGACTAAGAAGTGGAGAAGTACATTTTCCTTATTTGCCAAAAATGATCCCTAAATAAAATCAATTAAAAAATATATTCATTTGGCAGCTGATATACTGTTTTGGGCTGGGAAGAGGGAGGGGGAAGAGGAAGAATGTCCAATAAAGACAGTTATTAATTTGACTCACCTGAAACACTAATTTTATAGTGTTAAAGTTTCATTGAAATATGGCAACGATATACTTGTACATTTATCATAAAATATTATGGTTTCCTTTAAGTGCTTAGAAGAAATGAAACGGGAAGCCAGGACTATTAAGATCGATAGAAGATTGACGGGTGCCAATATAATTGATGAACCTCTCCAGCAAGTGAGTTTCAGTATGTGGTATTTGAATTCCATATATTGTGTACCGAGTGTATTTCTTTTGAAAATACTAAGATGCTTTTTGTTATTTAAATAATGTACTGTAACTTCATGATGTTATCCTTGAATTTTATACTTGAAGGTACTGCCATAATAACTCACTTATTATGAAGTGGTTTACTTAATATGAAAGGCTTTTGATTGAATTTGCATTTAGAAAAAAAGTTTTTATTGACATATTTGATAGTGTTTCTAATAATTGTATAGTTATAGTATAACGCTTTAGCTAATGAACAAGCTTAGTGGTTTGGCAAATCAGACTCTTTTCTACTAATTTTATTACTTTTTAAAAATGGAAATGAAATACCTGATTTGATTCAAAAATATTCAAAAATTAGAATTAGGTTAACAATTATTCCCCCCAAAATATTTTCCATTGATGTTTATATGATTTGATTATATGACAATTATAAAAATGTGTATTTTACAATTTTAACATTTATTTTATAAATGAACCAATATTTAGTTTATTTGATTTGTAAAAATTATACACTGAATTGTTTTATTTGCTACCTATTGTCTAGCTGAATACCCTTGGTAGTATCAAAGATATTAGTGAAATTAAGTGAATTCCTGTATCGTTTTGTAGTTAGACTGCAATGGGTCTGATGATATAATCTTGGAAAAACTGGGGTTTTTTTGAGAATTAGGGTCCATCAGCGTTACTTTTCATCTCATTCTGATTAGAATTCTTCAAACTGATTAGAATTCTTTATTATAGCAGTGAAAATTTATTTTTTATGTAAACGCTGTCATTACCTAAAGTTGGGTGGGATTTGGCCATAGATAATATTTTAATTTTTAAAAAATTTGGGCAATGGGTAAGTTGGGATACCGAAGTAATTTAAAATTTTTGAAATGGTTTTTAGCATGTTGATGCTTTTATAATGAAGGCAGGTATTTAACACCACAATTTAGTATGTAGAGAGTAAGTATAAATTGGTAAATGATCATCTTAGTTTTTAGTTTACCAGTGTTACTTTTTAAATCTTAAATGTAATATTTTTTTCCCAATATTTTTGTTGTAGGTTATCCAGTTTTCCTTGAGGGATTATGTCCAGTATTGGTATTATACATTAAGTGATGATGAATCTTTTCTTCTTGAAATTAGACAGACTCTTCAAAATGCACTCATTCAGTTTGCTACTAGGTAAGGACACAACATTGTATTTATACAGAAAAATTTAGGTATATTTTTTGTACCAATAGGAAAAATAACTATCCAATGGGAGGGGGACTTATTTCTTAAAAGGTAAGTAGAACAGAAAATTATTATTGTGAGATAACTCCCAGATTATAGAATTAGAGCCCTTAAAACTTTTAAATTACCCCAGATTTGAGGTTTTTACAGAATGTTTATCTTGATTAAGCCCTGCTCTTTCAGTCTTTATGCCAGTTTTTTTCCTCAGGGTCCAAATCAGGTGGCTTTTCAAAACTTTTTTACCCCACTAATTGATAATAGTGCCCCCCCTCTTCCCCAGACTACTGTTTTATTTGACTACTATGGAAATAGATTAGTTTCAGTATAATCGCTCTTCCCCATTGTAGTTTCAGTATAACTGTTCTCTTAACTTCGGCACCTACCTAATGAAAGTCCTCTTAGAGGGAGGAGGAAGAACCAAAGGAACATAAGTCAGTGGAGAATATCCAGTTTATTTTTTTTCAGAAGAGACATGTATTTTGAGGACTTTGTTTTAAGAAACTTTTCTTGTGAGATACAATAAAATTCTTGCTTTACATACCAGCTGTATACTATTTCCCAAATGACAAAAGTGTTTTGGCCTATATCCTTGTACTTGAACTACTTGATTTTTTTTGGTTGGGGGCTATTTCGTATCTATTTCTATTGTATTGACTTTCATTTTAATTTTTGAAAGCAAATACTCTAGAAATTATTCATTTCTGAAATAAAGGATTTTGTTTAGATGAGTTTGCAGACTTTTTTTTTTTAATTAAAAGATTTTGCTACCCAACAGACACACAGAGATTTCTCTACTAGTCTGTATTTTCAAGGCAGGATGCTGCATGCCATGGTTATGAGTATTCTTCAGCCAGCTCTTTTTCCTCCCCACTTAGCTTCTTTTAATACGATCTTGTGATTTTGAGAGTCTTGGAAAATAGAGCTTTGTCCTAGGGCTGTTACTGTGTTTTCTGTTCTGTGTTGATAGATATTTCCAGCTCATGCTGTCCTCTGAGGACCTTTCCTCTATAACTCAGTTGATCCTAAAATTCTAGATTGGGGTGGGGGATGGGATGTGTTTCTCAACCTCAGGTCATTGGGGAGCCCTGCACAAGGTTTATAGTTTGAACAATAACCTTAGTTATAGAGATAGAGTTGCACTCCTTCTCCCTTGTAATTATCAGCAAACATTTGCAAAGTAGCCAGCCAGAATTATAGATGAAGACTCAGTGGAACACAGAAAATATAATTGGTATAATCAGAGAAGGTCAGAAATGGATTTTATCTCTTTTATTTCATATGCAACATTATTGAGTGTTAGGTATTCTTTCGGTGAACTCCTGTGAATAATTAGTCATGCATTGCGGTCTATAATAACAGTATCCTAATGATTTTTTTTCTTTGAAAGAGTGAGAATAGAAGAGTTCATTATTCTTGTTCCTGAGTGTTTAAAAGTATATTAAAATGTAACAAATTTTAGACCTGGAAAGAGATTTGAACTAGTAATCTGAGGACTTGAGTTTGCATTCTGGCTCTACCATTTAGCTGTGGAACTGTGAGCAAGTGTTTTAAACTCTTTGAACCTTGGTCTTTCTTATATGTAAAATAAGTATAATAATAGCTGCCCTGTTCTGCATTCCTCATAGGATAATTGTCAGGGTCAAATTCATCTATTCATTCAACTAATATTTTGGGCCTACTTTGTACCAGCCAGGTGCTGAGGATACAACAGTGAATAAAACAAAGTCCCTGCTCAGTGGAGTGAAATGAAAATAATACCTGTGACAGCGTTTTGAAAATTGTGAAAGAATTTAGAAGTTTAAGTTTTTATACTATCCAATGCCCATAATTTCACTGATGAGGAAAGCTAAGTTCTAGAAACATTAAGTGGTTAGTCTAATGTTGTCCAGTGAGTTAGAATTGGAATTAGAATCAGATTGTTATGAACAGTCTTGTGTTCTTTCTCCCATTCCCCATCAAATATATTATGATCTAGGTTATTCCATCTTAGTTTCCTGCCCTTTTTTTCTATTGTTGCAATGTTTTTCCTATTTTTGAGCCCCTAGTCACTTTTTCTTTTCACTTCATGTCTTAAGTTTTTTTGTTTTTCTTTCTTTAACATTCTATGCTATCAAGCTTAATATTTAGGTGATAACTGGAAAAGCCAGGTTTCTTCTAGACTGATCTGAATTTGTATCTTTGGCCATTTACTTAAGTTTTTGACAAACTAAAACTGATAATAACTACTTTGGAGACTGCTTTGAGGCTAAAAAATTATATCAGGTAAAGTCTTTTTAGCATAAAGTAAGACTCAATGATTGTTGATTTGTACCTTTTCTGTGAATGACTTTTCTACATTGGCTTTTTCTATTACTACAAAAATATACATCTTACTAGAGGTTCTCTGACTTTTTCAGTGCCAATATCAAGAAAATTTGGTCTGTTTACAATCATTCAAATACTTATTTAATACTTCTTTGTACTGTGCACTGTGAAGCATATGACAGGAGCATAACTTACACTTCTTTCGTTCAGCTTAGTCTGGTATAGGGCTCTTAACAGGCTGGGTCCACAAACCTGAAAATGTGTACAAAGCTGTGTTTTTTTTTCCCCCTGTAGAGTGCTTCTATAGATTTGATTTTCAAAAAGATCCTGTGAACCCACAAAAGACTAAGAACCACCGATTTCTAATCTTTATATTTATTCATCAACTTTGAGAAACAATGAGAGAATGTCAGCATAAAATGAAGTGGTAAATTTTGAGTAAAAATGGGGAGAAAAGGATAAGAGTCTGAAGTCCTTGATTTGAGCTTTAGCTCTATTACTTAATAAGCTCCATGGCCTTGAATGGGCAAAACACATAAATTTTTCGAATCTGGGGATAATAACTCATATCTCCTTATCAGGTTGTTGTTAGGATTAAATGACATCACATGGGAGGGAGTACTTTGTAGCAATACCATCCTATTAGTAGCACCTGTTACTCCAATAGCAGTTTGGGGAAGGACACTTTTCTCAAGCACCGTTGAGTTCTTCTCTGGGGAAGCTGGGTGTGAATTAGTCTGGAACTTCAGGGGATGGATCTTTGATAACCTGTGTGTTTTTATTCTCTTTAAGTCAGATATTATGACATAGGGTAAAGAGCCCTGGGCTAAGTGTCAGAAGATCTGTATTATAATTGTACCTGTACCATTAAGCTACAGTGTACCTAAAATAAAATTTCTGAACATCTCTGTAAAACAGTAATACTTGTAACATACTCGGAGTTTTAAAGGACAAATGGGATGATGTGGACGAAACATTGCATAAAGTATTCATCAACCAATAAATGACATTTTGAGCAAGTTACTTGACTTTCTGTGCCTCCATCATCTGGCACATAGTAAGTGTTTAGGAAATGTTAACTTTGCTGTTATTGTTGCTACTGCTTATTATTCTCCTAGGTTATATATGCAGATTCTTTGATCTTGTCTTAGCTTTTTTTGTGAGAGGTGAGAGATGAGGTGGGCAGGATAAAATTAAGGCACGTGAAACAGAAATAGAGTAGTCATTTGTGTGGTACTGAAGCAATTTGTCGTGTAGAGTGGACCAGAGTAACTGATGAAGATCTCATGGGCCAAAACTGATCTTCAAGAATGAGTATGTTTGGATAGGTGGAGATGAAGGACATGTTAGGAAACAGGAATAATATGAGCAAAGTCCTAACAAAGAAGATAAGGATAGTATGGTAGAAATTGTAAGTAGATTCAAATGAACAAGGACCCTCATTGTTGCTCTTGAAAGTGAAATGTGGTTAGCAAATTCCTTTATCTCTATTCTCCTTAACCCCAAGATTAGAGGAAAGTCAATATATTCTAATGCCACTGTGTTCTTTCCTGAAGGGTTTTCCCAGGGGGGAGGAGGTTTAGATATGTAGGTTCCAGGATTCACTGGCTATGCTACTAATGATGTAACTGTTTTTGGAATGACAGGGAGTATATTCTTTTGCCGTTTTCTTACTACATTTTGCCATGGAAATAATGAAAATAAATGATACATTCCTAGACTTGTTAAAAGCAAGCACAACTCAAATAGTGAACATTTGCAAAAGTAAAGTTTTACACTTTTTTCCCCATTTTATATTCTTTGCCAGTTGAAAACTTAGCTCAAAACTGACGTTTCTCAGAAAGATGATTATTGTTGTATTTATTAAAGTAGAGCAATAAACAATTTGAAACTATGTGTTTAAAAGAAGAGGAAATAAGTTAATGTTTTTATATCTATAAAATAGACTGGGGGATAATAATTATATATTTATATAATTGACAAACTCTACATATCACCCACTTAAAGTCAGTGGCTTTAGCAACCTTCATCACCATCAATTTAAGAATATTTTAATATCTTCACAAAGAATCCTTGTATCCATTATCAGTCACTTCTGTATTCTCTTAAGCTTCTAGCTCTAGGCAACCACTAATCTTTGTCTTTCTGGATTTGCCTATTCCGGGCATTTTGTATGAATGAAATAATATATGTGGTCTTGTGGGACTGGTTCTTTCACTTACCGTAATGTTTTCAAGGTTCATTCATGTTGTACATGTATTAATACTTATTCTTTTTTATTGCTGAATAATATTCCATTGAGCTGATAGACCACATTTTGCATATCTGTTCATCAGTTGATGGACATTTGAGTTGTTGCTACCTTTGAGTGCTATGAATACTACTATGAACATTCGTGTACAAGTTTTTGAGGGACATGTTTTCATTTCTCTTGGGTATGTATCTAGGAGTGTAATTTCTGGGTCACATGGTGTTTAATCTTTTAAGGAACTGCAAACTGTTTTTCAAAGTAACTACACTTTGTTACATTCCCACCAGCAATGTATGGAGGTTGTATTTCTCCACATCCTCGCCAACACTTAAATTATTGTTGTCTTTTTATTTTTTTCTTTTTCACAAGCCCACAGCTATCATTATATTGTCTG